GATTTATTTAAAATGTTAATAGATATATTACACAGATATATTATATACTTTTATATACTTGAAAGTATGGTAAATTGTCATTCGAGTAGTTATACAAAAGAGTTACAGTATAGTATATACTGTAGGTATAGTTTTGCAGCATTTGTAAAACTAGAGAAACAGACTCTCAAACGCTTTCTAACATATATTCTTGTATGTCTAAATCTGTCCAGGGATGATGATGACATTAATGACGTGGCCTCAATGGCAGGCGTTAATCTTTCGGAGGAGAGCGCTCGTATCCTGGCCACCAACTCGGAGCTGGTTGGTGCAGTCACGCGGTCTTGTAAGGATGAAGCTTTCCTCTCCACCAGCATGCTACAGCACAAGATACTAGAGATAGGTGAGACTTCTAGTTACAGAAAAATCTTGTATTCGATTTTACTACAATGTACTGTTTTACCAGAGCTAACAGTTGTTGTCCTGTATGTGGTCAGGCCAAAGGTTTGGAGTGACAGAGCTGGGTCCCGAGGTTGTGAACATCGTCTCTCATGCCACTCAGCAGAGACTGCAAAACCTTCTAGAGAAGGTCTCATTGATTGCCCAGCAAAAGAACATGACTTACAAGGCAAGTCTGCTTCTGACCCAGTTGGGCTAGCTCATTAAAGTATGTTGATAGTAACATATTTTTATATTTATTTACCACATTTTGTTGTACCCTGGATGTGTTTCCTTAATGTCAGAATCGGAATTATGAATCCAGAGGCTGTTGCGGGTTTCGGTCTCAAAAGCGCTCCATCCTTTGGGTGTCAGCTTTTGTTGTGAGCCTGTAAGGCTGTGTGTAATGTTAAAAATGTGTGTGCAGGAGGATAGTCGGTATGAGCAGGTGGAGGATGTTCGGTCTCAGCTGAAGTTCTTTGAGCAACTTGACCAGTTGGAGAAACAGAAGAAAGAGGAGCAGGAGAGAGAAATTTTAATGAAGGCAGCTAAGGTTAGTAATCCACCTCCAGCCATACTCTCTCTCTCTCTCTCTCTCTCACACACACACACACACAC